ACCTTTCACCAGGACAAGTCACTCACCCACTCAACCATGCACTGATGATGTCACCTCGATTGGTGATGAAAAGTGTGCAATCCAAACGCCAAACTCGGCGAACAGGCCAAAAACCAAACGATGCACCCGAGCTACTACATTCCACAAAATTGCTAGGACAAATTAGTGTTACGTGTCATCGAAGGGTTTTTGTTTGTTATTGGATGTTACAAAATGTTGGGACAGATAGTTACGTAAACTCAGGTCGCGCCTGGTTTCTGGCTATACTGATTCACTTATCGTACCGATTTCTCTGGAATGTAGTTGCGAGATTTTGTTGACCGGTGTGTGAAATTGGTACGCGTTGAGACTTACAGCAATTCTGCCAATGGCTGCACTTGACTAACAAATGGTTAACACCATGCGTCTAGTCGATCTTTTTAAAACCAGTCACCAGCGCATTCTATTTTACAGGTAGTAGAATACCCTGCTTTTCACATCACTCCTGTGGCGTAAATATTGTTAACCAGATCTATTCTGTCTCATGACTGTAGTGGCTAAGCTACCAACTTTAACAGGAGCGTGTAGCAGAAAAATAAAAATAACGACGCCATATTGGGTATACAATAATAATGAGGTCAGATGGAACAGACTCACTAATAACTGTTCCCTCTAAAATAATTCGTCATTGACTCATATCAACGAACTAATAATAATCCAAACATGGCGGTCCAGGGGTCCTCTTCTGAACAGTTCCAACATACAATAGATTCCAATGATAGTCTGAAATGTTTTGATACGCGAGCTGGCACATGAGGCTGGCGAATGACCGCCGTGGGCGCGAGCAAAATCAAAAGGAAGAGTCGAACCACGTGACACGTTTGTACTGCTTGAAATTGTGCAAGTGCGTGTTTTTGTAGGTTTTCGTCTTCTAGCAAAAAACGCTTAAGGAATTGACGAAATACGTAGTGTTATAATGGAAGCAAAATGAAGGCACAAGACACCACATAACGCATCCACTGGAACGTTGACCGTGAAAGGGGAAAACGCTCGAATTATGAAAGTAACGAACCAAAAAGTTGCTAGCTTCAAGTTTCATATTCAGCTAACTACTGAGGGAAACGAACGCTTCGTACGGAACAGCAACTGGTAGGTGTAGAATAGAGATCGTTTGAGATGTGTTCTGTTCGCGTTGATCGTCTTGTCGGTGTCGCACGAAGTTCGGACATTCGGGTTACGAATGTGACGGTTGATTCGGCTGTGCGCCAGAAGGGGAAACCAGTTCACCGGGTAAAAGTAAAGTTGTACCGTACACTAGTTCGGCTGGTGAACAGTGAAGATCCTCCTTAATAGTGGAGCGAATAGCAAGCAAAATGAGGGGTAAAGAAGGGGACCATGAAGATGGGTTCATTTGGGCAGTCAATGCAGCTTTGAGATAGCGATGAAAATGTCCAACCAGACCGTTGGAACAGGGTGTGGCAGCCGAAATGTGATGGAAACCGAACTGGGTGGAAGACTCCCGGAAGAGATTACACTGAAATTGTGAACTGCGATCGGTAGCAACGGTATACCAAAGTTACTCACCCGATGCCGCAAAACACGAAAACGTTACCGTTTCAGCCGAAGTGTCCGAAATGGGCACAGCTAGTGGCCAACGGGTAAAACGATCAATCATGGTAAAAATATTAGTGAAACCGTTTGATGGGGAAGTGGACCAACAATGTCGAGATGAACATGTGTGAATCGAGCATTAGGGTCTGCAAAGGAAACGATAGGTGAGCTCGTATGTCGAGTTACCTTACTGTGTTGACAGGCGATGCATTATTTGGTCCAGGATATTAGATCCTTATTCATGCAGGGCCATACAAAGCGTGCACTAATCAACTTCCTCGTTGCCCTGATTCCTGGATGATAAAGTCCATGGAAGTGGTCGAAAACAAGTCGTCGAATGGTTTCGGGGACGATGGGCGAGCCGAGCCGCAGACATCACAAAAATGGTTCCATATTGGAGGGGTAAGGGAAGTGAAGAGACTTGAAATGAAGGGAAGGATAGAATGGGCAAAAATTAGGATCACCATGCTGGGGGTTCGTCAGCTTCGCTGGGTCCAACTGCGTGAAAGGGTATAGAGTGTTGATGTCAGGACGGGATAGTGCGTCTGCGACGACATTGTCTGAACCAGGAGTGTACCGAATGTCAGTAGTGAATTTTGAAATGTGGTCAAGGTGACGCATCTCGCGTGGTGAATATCGATCAGGCTTGTCATTAAAAGCATACGTCAGTAGCCTGTGGTCGGTTTGAATGGCAAATGATCTACCTTCTAAGAAGCGCCGGAAATGGCGAACAGCAAGGTAAATTGCGAGTAATTCACGACCAAAGGCACTGTAACGCATTTGTGCATCCTGCATCTTCAGCGAGAACATGGCTAGTGGTTGAGACGTTTTGTTACGGCCTGACGGCAGCGTTCAAAGCGTCAGTTGTCAAAATCAGTTTTGTGCTATCGTGAGTATCGAGGAAAGATAACTTTCTGGCATGAGCAATGGCATGCTTGGCTCTTTCGAGGGCGTCAATGGCCGCTCCGTGCAAAGTGACAGATATTTCTTTGGAGCCAAGTGAATCGGTTGGTGGCTGCAAAATATCTAGACAATGAGGGATGAATCGCCGACAATAGTTGGTGATACCAATGAAACGACGAAGTTGGGTGATAGTGTTGGGTATGTGCAAAGATTCTAGAGCCAAAATGCGATAAGGCAATCGTGAAGTACCTGTTGGGTCAACGTGGTGGCCAAGAAAGTCTAGGCTAGGAACACCAAGCAAGTACTTGTCAATGTTGAAGCGTATGTTGCAAGTGCAAAGGGGTTCAAATACTGCTCTGAGTTGAGCTGCATACTCAGTTGGGGAGGTGCTAGTGATTGAAACATTGTCTGGATAGGCAAACACAAAAGGTAAACCACGTAATATTTCGTCCGTTAAACGTTGAAAAGTTGGAGCTGCATTTCGAAGGCCAAAGGGCATACGCGTGAAATCGAAAAGGCCAAGCGGTGTTGTGGCAGCTGTTTTAGGGATGTCATCCCGGGCCACGTGTATATGGTAGTATGCACGTACGAGATCAAGTTTGGAGAAAGTTTGTGTGGCATAAGTTACTTGCGAAACTGTGGATAGGTGGGATGGGATACTTGTCTGGGATTGTGGCGTTATTGAGAGAACGGTATTCTCACAAGGTCTCAATCACCCTTAGATTTATTGGGTACCATATTTAGGGGTGACGACGAATGACTCGTGAAGTGCGGATAATGCCGAGTTCGGGCATGCGTTCGAACTTTTGTTTTGCGATTTGTAACTTATCCGGATGAAGTCGGCGGTGGTTGGTATAAACAGGGGGACCACTCGTCTGGATGTGGTGAATGACGGAATTAGTGACCGGTTGGGTGTATTGGCATTGAGGTTGGAAAGTCCCTAAGTATGTCAGCGAAGTGGGAATCAAGTCAGATAACTCGGATGCCTGTGGGCGAAGTTGAGGCACTAATTCCGTTGACTGGGAGGGAAGTTAGCATATCCAAGAGGCGCTTGTGTCGAACATAGGCAGGCAAGTTGTAGTGGGTGAGGAAGTGTGCGCCAGTGACGGGTGTTTGGACGTCGGCCAAAAGGAAAATCCACTTGAACGCACGTCGCAATTCGAGGCCAAGTGTGAGGGAAAGTTCGCCGTATGTAGCGATGCGGGTACCTTTAGCGACTTGTAACGAATAAGAAGCAGAACCGGGAAGTGGATTCTTATGTGGCGGAACGCTAACATCAGCTCCCGTATCTGGTAGGAAACGTAGACAACTTGAACGATCGGTGATGTGGAATGGGCGACTAGTGCGAGGAGGGCCACAGACAGTCGTCGTCGTTTACTGACTGGCCGGCGTGTCTAAAGGGCCATTGGGACGCGGCTTGAAGGAACAAGGCGGTTATCATCTGCGTGCTTTGGGACCGGAAATTTGGCGATACCAGCACCATGAGGGGCAATGATCGAGATCGTGAATGTGGTCGATGCTTGTTAATCTCCATCCGTTGTAGGCGATCGTTCGAGGTACCAAATTAAGCTGGTAGTTGTGAGAAAGAAGCAAGAATTGAATCGGAATCTGTGGAAGTAGCGGGTGTAGGACGGGAGACGAAGTTTATGGGGTTATTGGGGTAGGTTTCGTGGGTTTTGTCGGCCATTTCGGGTAGCTGCCCCAAGACGTGGTCATCAATGAAAGCACTGATGACGTGGGACATGGAGGGTGGACGTTTATCGAGCCATAGTTGTGCCGTGAAGGTGCAAGACACCACACCCTGCATTTTGAGGGAGGCCCGGAATTATCGTTTCGCGTAATCCGCTAACCAAACCAAGAAAACTGCATGGGGGCGCCTAACCCCCCAAAAGTGCAAAGCGATCTCGGGCAAACTTCAGTAAGAGGAGGAGGCGATTCATATGCTCTTTTCCGTTCTTGGAAATTGAGGAAGAAGCCACGGATTCGTGGGGGGTTTTATGAAATCAACGGTACTGTTTCTGGGCCTAAAAGAGTTTCCAAATGTTACGAGACGCGTACCAGAGCATCGTCGCTTCAATTGCAAGGGCAACACAACTTCCTGATTTTGCTTGATGCATACAATGGAAATAGGAGTCAGACTTCATATTCTTGAATAATACTAGCTGTTTAAAAGTATCGTCGGACTTTAGCTTTTCAAAGTGCAGCGGGGTTTATGAAGTCCGACAAGAAAAGCTGGAATCTCGTGAGCGCCGTGAACGTTTGAACTGAATATGGTCGTTTTTCTTGCCAGATTGGAATAAGAGCGCTGCCTGCGAATTATTTTAATCCGCCTTTCTCGTTTTATCCTCGACTGTAATTTTATACTGTGATATGTTCCAATGTGAGTTGACGGTTACCCGTGAATCGTAAGTTTGCCTTTCATCACTTATTGCTTGTTTGTCTTAATTGACGCTACGTTCTTTCCAGGGTGGATAATATAGCTTCGTCTGATTTTTCGCGGGATAGTGATGTTGGGAGTGACCGTGAGTAAGTACAACTCTTGTGCTAGTTTACCAATTACCTTATAAGTACACTGGAGATTTCCGGTTCCCAGCTTTCGCTGTCCAAACGGGACGTGGCTGATCAGCAGGACAAAGAGAGATATGCCAGGTAAGGCAGCTCATGAGCTTATCATTTTGTGAAAGGGAGAGTCACTGTGAGATCGAACGTAGGCGGAGGAACAAAATGACCGCCTATATAAATGAGCTTTGTGAAATGGTTCCGACATGCAGCTCCTTGGCTAGAAAACCGGATAAACTGACGATTTTACGGATGGCTGTTAGTCATATGAAGTCAATCAGAGGTTAGTTTCATATTCTAAGGGTTACGTGTTAGTTACTGCTCAGTCTTTGAATATTTTCCTTTAAAAAACCTTTGGCAACTGGGTCAAAACTATGGGGCTGACTAAAGCCACTTGGGTATTGCACGCTCTGAATTGCAAACTATCCGAATTTTCCCATAACTGGGCTTTCTCTCGCTTTTGTATCACAAGTAAGGGCTTTAGTTCCTCTACATGTGTTCTTTTGCGTCTACCAGTTTCTGTGGCACTTACTCAGTGGAGGGTTAGAGGCGTCCTCATTGATGCATATTCTGTAGAGTCAGGAAGAGTCACCCAGTCTGACAACAGCGTTATTAAAAGCTAACGATGAAGACACCACGTGTGGTAGTCAAGCCATTCGAGAAATTTCTGCAACATAGCTGAATTATTTCTAAGTCATCTGCACAAATAGCCACCACCTTTTGGGCAAGTCCAGATAAGCTAGTTTAAACGTCCGGGCCATCAAGGTCTTCGTTTTTGTCGATCCCCTTGTCTTTCTATTCGCGTGGAGACAGCGCATTACCCAACCGTCGCACTTCACAGTTTTTTTACGTACGACCGTCACCAGACGTGTAAACTAGTCCGTGGGCGGCGATTGTCAACTCCAGAGAGCAGGAGAAGGTTATCGGCAATGGGTCACCTGGTTTTACACTCGTAGAAAAGAGCTGACAAGACCAGTGCGAAGAAAAGCTTATGTTTCGGCCTCAATATATTTCATGAAGTTCCCTGAAAGTGGTCGCAACTGTTGCGGTTTGTTTACTAGTTACAGCTACGTTTGTTGCCGCCTTCACTTGTGTCACTTGGAGGATGTAATCGGTCAAGCCTGAACAAACACTATTTTTATGGTGATAGGATCTATCCGTGAATGATCATTTCCGCTACCAAACGACTGACCTTTTACCCAAAAATTCAAATAATTGTTAAGCTGTAACATCTTTCGGATGCCTAGCTGCCATGCCACTCCAATGGAGCATGAGGGCCGGTATACTGCCAAGTTTCTAAATCCTAGGCAAAAAAGTCGAGATGCATAGGTCGGGTTCGAACCTCGAACTTCACGGTCAATAAACTCGCACTCTAATAATCTCGCCTCACTAAGCCCCGACCTAAAGCTGCCACCTTGACGTTCTAAATCCCAAAAAAGTCGAGATGCATAGGTCGGGTTCGAACCTCGAACTTCACGGTCAATAAACTCGCACTCTAATAATCTCGCCTCCCTCACCCCCGACCTAAAGCTGCCACCTTGACGTGGTGGTCGGGCTTGAGTGCTGCAGCGATCCCACGGGCTACACAAGGTGCAACCATGCCAGGAAGGCCAAAGAGGAGCAGCCAGACCAAGAGCGGCGAGACCCCGTACTACGAGTAATCGTGCTACGAGGCGGTCTGGGGGTAAAGTCGTACTGTCCTCTGCGACAGGAGTGTGAAGGCAGTAAGGTGTTTCCCCCAGGCGACCAGCATGTCCATATTTATGGAAGCAGCGATGCTGCCTTCCCCCGAGGAAGGACGGGTTAGAAAAGGTCGGCCCCAAAAACCGCACACTCCGATCGCCCAACGGTTGACCGTGACCGCCGGCGCATTATCCGATACGGTCGAAATACTTTTAAAACCAAAGAGCCCGGTGCTGCTCAAAAGGCACCTGCTGTGCGCAGCCGCATCAGGAATGAGACAGTAATGCCTTATTCCCTGCGCCCTCGGGTTAGGCCAACCCCCTGCAGCCGAGCAGGTCAGACTATTGAGTCATCGGCTCCGGGCAGGGTCCCCAAAGAAAACCCTACATTCTCCCACTGCCTCGTGGGTCAGACTTTTGAGTCAGAGGCTAGGGTCAGGGTCCCCGAACAAAACCCTACGTCATCCCACTGCCTTGTGGGTCAGACTTTTGAGTCGAAGGCTCAAGGTGGGGTACCTCAACCAAACCCCCTTCCTCGGCCTGGGCAACCGGGAAGTATCATTTGCCCGCGCAGTTCAGCGTCCACCGATGTCCCTCCCCAACCCCTTCCCACTGCACAAGCAAACGTCGCTGGGCCATTTGACTGTCAGTCATCTGACCGAAGGGCCCTATGCTCCACGCTGCCTACAAGCCTTAAACAAAATAACACCTTTCTAAATCCACGAGATCCTTTCTATATAGGAGCTTTTAACGTCCGTACTCTATGCCAAATTGGCAAACAGGCAATGCTTGCTGAAACCTTGTACTCCCTTAAAATCGATGTATGCTGTGTCTCCGAAACACGCATACAAGACCCGAGCGTGGTTCTGCATCTCAGAACGCCAAGGATGAACCCAGCTCTTTCACATTTCTCCCTCCGTGTGTCTGGTGACCCAGAAGCGATGACTCGTGGAATGTATGGCGTGGGAGTTGCACTCAGCCCCAGAGCTGAACGCGCTTTGCTGGATTGGATCCCAGTGAACAGTCGTCTCTGCGCCGTCCGGTTATCCAGTTCAATCAAGCTCAATGCCTCGCGGCATAAAAAGCGGTGCCTGTTTGTCGTGTCGGCTTATGCCCCGACGGACTGCAGTTCTGATGCGGAGAAGGATACTTTCTATCGAGAGCTATCCAGGCTCATTCGTCAGGCAAAAAGCACTGACATTGTGATCCTTGCAGGCGATTTGAATGCTCAAGTAGGTCGTCTGAGCTCCTTGGAATCACATTTGGGTGGTCGATTCGGAGTCGATGCTCGCCGAACAGACAACGGAGATCGCCTCCTTCAGTTGTGTGCTGATCACGAACTGTTTCTGGCAAGTACGAACTTTCAACATAAACGTTCGCACCGCGTAACCTGGCGGCCGCCAACTACAAATCAACCGTGGACCCAGTTGGACCACGTGGCCATCAGTCACCGGTGGAGAGCCACAATTCAAGACTGCCGTTCCTTCTGGGGCACACCACTTGATTCCGATCACGCCATGGTGCGCGCACGCCTGACAGTTCGTTTCCCTTCAGGCCCTCGCAAGTCGGCAAGAAACGTGCCAATCCACTATCTTCGAAGAACTGCCATAGCTCAACAGTATCGATCTGAGCTAGCCCAACAACTCTCCACAGTAAAACAATACTGTGGTGGCAGTGAACATGTGGATGAAGCGTGGCAAAATGTGAAAGGAGCTATACTAGCGGCGTTCAGTGCTGCCTGCCCGACTTCTCCAATTCGACCACAAGACCACTGGATGTCGTCGAGGTCGTTATCCATGATTGATGCCAGGAAAGCCATACCCGCAGGCAACGAGTACGACTGCGCACGCAAATCCCTCATACACCAAATAGTGAAGAGTCTAAGGAAAGGCCGAGTGCTCTGGTGGACATCGAAAGCTCGGGGGATGGAGAAGGCTTTTGCTACGGGAAACAGCCGTGCGCTTTATCAGCTGATACGATCGACTAGCCCCAGGAAAGCAAAAGTCAGTGAAACTCGCAAAAACGTCGACTGGAGAGATGGGCCGAACACTTCGAAGAGCAGTTCAGCTGGCCTCCTGCAACACAGCCGGTGGAGATAATGCATACGGGCGAATGGAATGTAAACCTTGGTCGCCCTTCGGAAGACGAAATGAGGTACGAAATAGCCGTAATGAAACGTGAGAAGGCACCAGGACCGGACGGTCTGTATCCAGCCCTCTTCAAAGAAGGCGGAAATTCCCTGGTGACCCACCTGACAAAGCTTATTGGTACTATGTGGGACGAAGAGAAAGTGCCTGCAGAATGGGGCATATCGATAGTTATCCCTATCTTCAAAAAGGGTACACGGACGCTACGCGAAAACCACCGTGGTATCAGCCTATTAGCTGTGGCATCGAAGGTGCTCTCTGGCCTTATCCTTCGAAGGTTGACTGAACACAGGGAGAGGCAGATCTGTGAAAACCAAGCTGGGTTCGGACCTGAAACAGCGACACTGCTTCCAGCAACCAACAATGGTTGTTTTTCTTGATCTGAAAGCTGCCTTTGACTCTGTGGACCGGCAAGCACTATGGCATTGTCTGTGGACCAAATGTGTCCCCCATAAATTCTATAACCTCATTAAGGCGCTGTACGCCAACTCCCGCGGCCGTGTAAAGGTCTACGGGAAGCTCTCTCCTGAGTTCACCACATCAAGTGGTGTCCGACAGGGTTGTCCTCTTTCACCTTTCCTCTTTAACTTCGTCATTGATACGATCATGGAAGACTCACTACCAGCCTCTAATGCCTGTGGGGTCGAAGTGCTCCCTGGGCCTCCGCTCACAGACATCGAGTACGCAGACGACATAGCTCTTCTAGGATCTGACCCCGTGGCATTGCAAACAATACTAAATAATCTAAATAATTCTGCCTCGCGGTTTGGTATGCGCTTCACACCTGCAAAGTGTAAAGTGCTACTGCAAGACTGGGTGGGCTCGAACCCTAGCCTCATGCTTGCGGATGAACCGATTGAGGTAGTAGACAAATTTGTTTACCTGGGCAGATGTATCAGTCCCGGTGGTCTCGCCAAAGATGATATTTCCATCCGGATTCGGAAGGCCGTAGACTTGTATTTGATTGAAAAATCATACCCATAGAGATTAGTCGCCTGCGCTGAAGACGATGTGCCGTGTACATTGAAAGGTCTTTCGACCTGAAAATGCTGACAAGCGGTTGGTGATCGGTAAGGGGTGTGAAATGACGACCGCAGATCACTTTGTGGAATTTCCTGACGGCAAGTCTTTTTTGTTTGACTTTAATTGCGTTCGGTTGCATGGGTGATTACTTTTTCAGTTCCGTCAGGAAATATATGGAGAATGGCTGCTCCGATTCCATAATTGGTTGCATCTGACGCTAGAATGACATCCACAGATGGATTGTAATGTGTAAGCACAAGGTCTATCAGTAGAAGTGATTTAACTGTGCCAACAGCTGATCGACACAGGTGACCAGTTCCAGGGAACATCCTTTTTCAAGGGATCGTTGAGAGGACCACAAACACGGTGCATATCAAGTAAGAAAGCATTGTATTGACTCACTAACCGAGGAAAAACTGCGGGACCACCATCCGTCGGTGTTTGTGTTCTCTGAGTTGTATCAATAATGTTCAGGTCAGGACGACGGCCAAAATAATAGAAAATTAACTTCAAAGATTTGATAGAATCAAGGAAGAATGCACATTTTCTCGCTTGGAAATGAAAGTCGCATTTTTAGATCCGATCAGTGAGTGTTCAACCTCATCAGGGGGTTCACCAGTGATAACGTTCAAGTACGTCACGACTCCCTTTAGTCCATCAACATAGCGTCCATGATCTGTTGCAATATGGCTGGTGTCGTTTTTAATCCGAAGAGAAGACGAATGAACTAGAAAAGACCACAGTGCGTAGTAATGGTGGGAGAATCTTGGAGTCGTTCGCAAACTCGATTTGTGAAACTGGGTCAATCGAGTGCAGCATTCAAACCTGTGGAATAATCAGTGCAAATCCCGATCTTTCCATTCGTCTTCTTGACTACAGCAATGGGAGCTCCCCAGAAAGAGTAGTTAATATGCTAGATAACACCTAGTCTGGCTTCCTAATCGCATTCCAAGTGGAACCTGAAGTCAGTGTGATGTCTGAGGCTGTATCGAGCGGCAGAAAAAAATACAAAATTGTTCATCTGTAGCACCCTTTCGGTGCCTAACTGCCATGCCACCCGAAGGTTGCACGAGGGCTGGGATACTGCCAGGTTGCCCAAGCCTAGAGAGGGGAAGTCCAGAGGCGGTCGGATTCGAATCATGGACCTTCCGGTCAGTAAATTCGCGCTCTAACCACTTGGGCCATCTCGCTCCTCGAGCTGCAGACTGGCAGGATGATAACTCACCGGGAGTGTGATAAATTTCCTGCCGGATGCAAAATCCACTTTGGATGGTACAAAAACAGAATTCGACCGACCTCACTTCCGTTTTAAATGCACTCTTACTGATCGATCAGCTTGGTTCTATGTGTGAAACAAAATATTCCTTTATGACCAATACGACGGTACTTCTGGTATTGGGGTTTTCTGAATGGGCAAAAGTGAACGTAATGCCAGTCATCACAAGACCATGGTTTAGAAGGCCTATTGTGTTAGAGGTTGAAGCTGCACTGAAGCGCCTTATTCGTATTTACGGAAATATGGTGCATTGTGTCGTATCAGTTGATGCTTGGCCGATCATCGTGATATCCTGGTTCCGTTGAATGAGGCGGTGACATTTAACACGGAGATCCTGTAAGGTTACGTTTATGTTTTGTTCAAGCTAGAATGTTTGAATGATGAGGGAGCTGGATGCCAGATAAAAATATAAGGCGTTTGAATTGGTTTTCGTCCATGTGACTGAGCTTGAAACGCTCATATTCTTGACTGACAATTGTTGCAAAGGCATTGGTGTCGGATGTTGCATGAGGTTGTGGATAGTGTTGTCTAAACTAAGATCACTGGGCTGTTTAGAAATTATGTAATTCGTGTATGGGTTGTTTTCACGTCTGCTAAGGTTCCAGCCATACCTTCCTTGGGTCGTCTTCACTGACGCAACCAATTCGAATACATCTTGGTACTTTTTGAGCCAAGAGTCGAAATTTCTATCTGCATCCGCGTCAAACGTAAATTCGGCGATAGTATTGGCAATATAGTCTGCAGATGAAGTTGTTGGTTGGCTTGTGCTGCTTTCTGGAGTTTGAAAACCCTGACTTTTGGTGAACGCATATCTCAGTTTCAGTTCCTGCAGTTGCGCGTGCCCAAGCTGAATTTGCTGTGTTCCAAAATCACATGAAGTTGGTCAATTGAAATTGGCATTTTGGGAGACCTGTCGCCATTTTTGCAACTGTGGTAGCTGGGTGATTCAGGAGATCGATGGAATTTATTCTATCGCGTTTAGTGGTCTTAATACTTGAGTGGGAAATCTTAAAGAAGATAATAGAGGAGACCGGATGAAGGTCGGCTATAATAAGAAAGAACCGGTTGAAGAAAGAGCGCTACGGTTCAGTTGGCTACAACAGAGAAAATGGAATCTTGGTCAAGTATCACAAAAGGTTGAAGTGTTCGTTAATATCTGACCATCTTAACGAGGATCACAGAAACTTACGCCAAAGCGCTCCTCGAATTCACACAACTTGATGTCCTGCCCGCTTCGTGTAGCAAAGGTTTTGCAATTGGCATGTTTTTGGCGTTTCCAAAAGCTCCTTGCTGCGGAGTTTATGCCCTTGAGTGCGTCTTTCCCGGTTTTAAATTATTCCTGGTGATAGTAATTTCCGACTTTCACTTTCCATGCTTCTGATGATATTAGGCACTTGAGTTCCACTTCTTTGTCCTTCTCAAAAGTTTGGCGTAATCGAAAATTCGGCTGGTAAACTTATCGCGAGCCTCGTTTCAACACTGAGGCACAAGCATAAAATGAAGTATTTCAATGGCCGGTAAGCAGGTCAGGGAAATGGTCTCTGTATTAAGAGCACAATATTGTCTGATTTCCATGGTTGATCCGGCTCCAAGTCACGACGTGTAATACTAAACACACAAAGCGTTCGGTTGTAGCACTTTTTGGTGCAAAGCTACCGTGCAACTTGAAGGAAGCATGGTGGCTTAAAGCCTAGACAGGAGTGATTGAAAAGCCAGAGTAAGTTTCCAGCCACGAATCTTCTGGTTAATAATTTCGCGCATTAACCAGTGTGATTTCTACTGTCGATTTACAAGGCATTACGGAAAAAAGGACCTCATACGTTTGCAATAAATTCCCCCTTACCTTAAACAGCTGGTGCTGGGATGGTGAGCGTTCATAAGGTTAGCCAAAGTGGAGTTTCAAAAAGCATTCGAAAAAGCTGTTAGGGGAACGTAATTGCCCAACGGGCGTGGAAAGTTGTACACCACACTCCCGAATGAGACTAAAGAATGCCTTCATCCTTTTTTACTCGTACGAGTGGATCGATTCGAAGCAATAGCATCTGCATTTTGCCCCCCATATTGTGGATTATGCAAGCCTCGATCGTTTCTTGCTTTTACGAATCACAACTGTCAAGTCGCCTGTATCCTTGGGTGTGAAACGTATTCGCGTTGGATTGTGGTTCCACCTACCTTGGGTTATTTTACCGATACCGTTAGAAATAAGCGGATACGTATCTGTTGAAGCACTTTTATGTGCAGTTGCACTAGTGAAGACACGTATTTTTCTGTTACCCTAGATGATGTGAGTTAGAGGAGAGGT